CATCCCACCCCCTTGACCTATCCGTCCTCCCTGGATTGACCTATCTCTTCCCTAACTTCCCACCTACACTCACCTTTACTGGCTCCATCTCCCCCTCTTTGACGTGTCTGTCTCCTCTCCACCTATCTTCTCCTCTATCCATCTTCTATCCACTTACCCCTCTTTCCCTTGTTATTTCAGAACCCCGTTCCCCTCCCCCATTTCTGAAGAAGGGTCTAGGCCCGAAACGTCAGCCTTCCTGCTCCTATGATGCTGCTTGGCCTGCTGTGTTCATCCAGCTCTACACCTTGTTATCTCAGAAATCTCCAGCATCTGGAGTTCCTACTATCTCTTTAATGTGTTTACTGTGCCTATCATAAACTCAACAGTATAGACATTATATGCATTAATACTTACAGGAGTTCTCCGAGGCATTCAATTGCAGTCCTTCATGGAACTGGATGTCTTTAGGTCGTTGTTCCAAATTTAATTTCTGACCTTTCCAAAAATAGCACCATATAGAACTTCACACCTGTATCCATCTGCCTCTTTTGATTTTCCGTTTCCAAAAATAACATATTATACACGTTTACCACACAAATATATTCAATGATAGAGCACCCACAATCATCTGGGACAGAAAATTTCAAAGATACAGGTAGTTCTCCTATAATGCATAGTTGCATTTTTGTGTAACATCGCGGTATAGAAAATCGCCTTATAGGGAAATTGCTATATCTGTATAACAGAAAGTTATCCAAACAGTGTCCACTATTCATCAATCGCGTTACAGCTAATTCGTGTTAACGAACATGCCTTGTAGCAGAATTACCTGTATACTACATTTTTAATCAAATAAATTTCTCTGCACATTAGTGTTAAATGACTGACCCCATTTTCTAGATTTCCCAGCTCAGGGAAAACTGTGTCTCAGTACCTTTTCAAGCCATCCTGTCCAGAATCTTGAAACTGTTGCAAGAAAGGCCAAATGCAATGCGCATTCCTAATTATTTGCTGTATTTGCAGACTGACATTTTGTCTTCCTAGCATTAGTAATGTCAGGTTTCTTGGAGTATTAACATTTTCATGTTTCACATCTTTTTCAAAAAAAGACTTTTTTAAAATTCTCACAACCAGTGAATACTTTCACACTTCTCCAAATTATATGCCATTTACTATCTTGTTGACCACTCACTTAACCTGTCTATATTTTTTACAGCCTGTTTCTTCTTAACCTACATTCCCACCTATCCCAGTGTGTCAGCAAACATAGATACATTACTCTGCATCGTCACCTGGGCAATTAATATGGATTATAAATAAGAGTCCTCAGATTGTTGCAGCACTCTACCAGCCACAGCATGTCATCTTGAAAATACCCTATTTATCCTACTTCTTGGACCTCAACTAATTCTCAATCCGTGCTAATACATTAGCCCAAACTCCATGAGTTCTTGTCATGTGTGTTAACCTTTTGAATGTCACCTGATTGAATGCCTTTGGAAATCCAAGCAGACTACATCAACTAGCTCCTCTTTATCTATCCTGCAAGTTACCTCCTGAAAACTCTTAATATTAATGTTTGCAAAGCAAATTACACCATGTTTTTCCTATTACATTAAGACTTTCTTAATAATATCCAGCTTTTTTCCCAACAATTGACATGAGGATAATTTGCCTGTAGTTTCTTTTTACTCTCTCCCTCCTGTCTTGAATATATTAAAATTAAGTACCATGTTTTCATTGGTTCTTGTCAACATCCCTAAAATTGTGGAATATAAACACATAACCAATTTGTTCACCGTCCCACATTGAGATAAATCATCCATTTTGATGGTGCTGCTTGAGACAACAATATTGGAAACTGGGAAAAATGCTTCACTCTTATTCAAGGAGACTTGGGATCTGAATGAATAAACTAATCATCTAGAAAACTGACCTGTCAACAGTGTCGCACTCCCTTACTACTGCAATGAAGGACCAGCCCAAATCAAGCTAGATTGACAGCAACTTCCGAAACAGCAAAACTCACTACCACCTTCTCGAAGATCATTAGTGATGTCGCTTAATTACTGGGTTTGCTAGCAACAGCCATTTTGTTTAATTCATTCTTGGGATGTGAGAACAGTGGCAAAGTTGGAATTTACTGCCCAGACCATAAACAAATTAAGATTAGAATATTTAATCCTGTTGATGCTTTTGGTTGTGTCCATGTGGCTAATGCAGTGAACAGTTTTGGGTATAGAATCAGTCTGGGTTTACATGTAACAGTGAGAGATACTAAGAACTGCAGGTGCTGGAGTCAGAGATAACACAGTGTGGAGCTGCATGAACATAGCAGGCCAGGCAGCATCAGAGGAGCAGGTGAGTTGAAGTTTCAGGTTGGGACCCTTCTTTGGAAATGGGGAGGGGGAAGGGAGCTCAGAAATAAATACAGAGAGGAAGGGTGGGGCTGGGGAAGGTAGGTTGGATGGTGTTAGGTGAGTGCAGGTAGGGAGTGGTGGAGATTGGTCAGTGAGGTCGGAGGGACGGATAGGTGGCAGAGAAGATGGTCAGGTTGTGTCAGGTTAAGGAGGCGGGGATGAGAGAGAGGATTGGTCATGGGATGAGGCCAGGGTTTGGGAGATTTTGAAACTGGTAATATCCAAATTTAGGCCATTGGATGTAGATTCCTGAGGCGGAATATGAGGTGCTACTCCTCCAGTTTGCACGTGATGTCATTCTGACACTAGAGGAGGCCCAGGATGGACATGTTGTCCAGGGAGTGGGAGGGGGCGTTGAAATGGTTCGCAACTGGAAAGTGTTGTCGTTTGTCGTGAACAGAGCACAGATGCTCTACAAAGCGGTCTCCGAGTCTCCGCTTGGTCTCACCGATGTGGAGGAGGCCACACTGGAAGCAGCGGATGCAGTAGACCACGTTAACAGATGTGCAGGTGAACCTCTGTCCAATGTGGAATGTTTGTTTTGTGACTTGAATGTGGTGAGGGTGCAGGCGTAGGGGCAGGCGTAGCACTTCCTGCGGTTGCAGGGAAAGATGCCGGGGGGGTGGTGGGGCTAGTGGGGAGTGTGGAGCGGACAAGGGAGTCGTGGAGAGCTGACCCTGCCAAATGCAGATAGGGGTGGGGAGGGAAATATCTCTTTGGCTTTGGGGTTGGATTCCAGGTGGTGGAAGTGGCGGAGAATGATGGGGTGATATGTGAGGACAAGAGGAATTCTGTCTTTATTTTTGCTGGGGGGAGGGGACGTGAGGGCAGAGGTGTGGGAAACACAAGAGATGCGGTTGAGGGCATTTTCGATCACGGGAGGGGGGAAGTTACGTTCCTTGAAATAGGAGGACATCTGGGATGTGCGGAACTGGGAGCAGATGCGGCAGATGAATTGGGAATAGGGGATCGCATTCTTGCAGGAAGGTGGGTGAGAGGAGATGTAGTCTCGGTTGCTGTGGGAGTCAGTGGGTTTGAAATAGATGTCGGTTTCGAGGCAATCACCAGAGATGGAGACGGAGAGGTCCAGGAAGGAGTGGGAGGTATCAGAGATGGTCCAGGTGAATTTGAGGTTGGGGTGAAAGGTGTTAGTAAAGTTGATGAACTGTTCAAGCTCCTCATGGGAGGACGAGGCAGCGCTGGTACAGTCATCGATGTAATGGAGGAAGAGGTGGGGGATAGTGCCAGTGTAGCTGCGGACGAGGGACTGTTCCACGTATCCTATGAAGAGGCAGGCATAGGTTAGGCCCGTTTGGTTCCCATGGCCACCCCCTTAGTCTGTAGGAAGTGGGAGGAGTTATAAGAGAAGTTGTTAAGGGTAAGGACGAGTTTGGTTAGGTGGATGAGGGTGTTGGTGGAGGGGGACTGGTTGGGCCTGTGGGAGATGAAGAAATGGAGGACTTTTAGGCCAACCCCAATGTGGGGGTACAAGCGTACAGAGATTGGACGTCTATAGTGAAGATGGGGTGTTGGCAACTCCCCACCTACGTCCGAGACACCACCCAAGCCCTCCACCTCCTCCAAGACTTCCAATTCCTGGCCCCCAACACCTCTGTTCAAGGTACATGACAAAGCGTAGATCATCTGCGTTTTGTTCACAACAAACGACAACACCTTCCGTAATGGTGTGAACCATTTTAACTCCCCCCTCCCTGGGTGACATGTCCACCCTGGGCCTCCTCCAGCATCACAATGACACCACCCGCAAACTGGAGGAGCAGCACCTCATATTCCGTCTCAGGAATACGAGGCCCAATGGCCTAAATGTGGATTTTACCAGTTTCAAAATCTCCCCAATCCCTGCCTCATCCCATGACCAACCCTCGCTCTCATCACCACCTCCTTGACCTGACCATTTTCTCTTCCACCTCACTGACCAATCCCCACCACTCCCTACCTGCACTCACCTATCACCTCCCACCTAGCATCCCGAGCCCTCCTCTCCACTCTATTTATTTCCCACTTCCCATTTCTGAAGGGTCCCAACCTACAACATCAACTTTCCTACTGTCTGATGCTGCCTGGCCTACTGTGTTCCTCCAGCTCCACACTGTGTTATCTATTACATATAAACAGTATTTCTTTTGCATTCTTGGGGAATGTGTTAATTTCAGGAAAGTTGGTTTTGGGAAGGAGTTACATCCAGAACTGAGTTGATTGTGAGAATGTGCCAGGCATTAGGTGCAAGCTGACTTGAGGTTTTGTGTTTACAGGGTTTATGGACACGTTTTTTTCCTGTCTCTAAGGCAATCCGTGGTCTGCTAAAAGAGGATAACATGGGTGAGATTAAAATAGTAAAAGCAGAGTTTGGAACGCACATGTTGGAAACTCCACGGCTGGTGGAGAAAGAATTGGGCGGTGGAGTACTGCTGGACATTGGCTGTTACTGCCTGCAGTTTGTCTGCATGGTGTTCCATGGTGAAAAGCCAGAGTCCATTCATGCCACAGGATTCCTGACTGAGAAGGGCAAGTATAGAATTGTATTGGACACAAATGATACCCTCATCCATCCAAAACACTCTACTTTATATCCACTGTGCTACAACCATCTGTTTCCTGACCAGGTACTGTCTCATATCTCTGCAGGGGTTGATGAAGCAGTGACCATTGTGCTTAAGTACTCCAGAAAACGAATGGCTATGATAACTGTATCCATGGCAATACAGCTCACTAACCAGGCGACCATCAGTGGGACAAAAGGAACAATCACAGTAAGTTTCCCTCTCAGTCCTTGAATATGCAGAACACCATTCAACGTGCTTTTACTGATGGGTCCTGTGGTATAAGATCAGGTAGAGCCAGTCAGTTTCTACTCATCATCTCCAGGGTCCCAGTACTTGAATACCCAAGAATGCCACAGTCTGATTTAACCAAGGGACCTCACACCCAGTAGTGCTTAACTCTGGACAGTTCCAAACACCCATACCCTGGCATGTGCCTATTCTTCACATGGTCCAATGTAATGTTGTACAGGTAAGCCACATACCTTCACTCCATATCTAGTCACTCTCTTGACAGTTACTGGATATTGGGTCTCATACCAATACCAGTGGTTGGTGAGAGCAGAGAATTGCAGATGTGGCATCTTCCAAAAAAAAAAAACAGATGTAACAGCAAAAAAGTCAAGTAGAGAGAAGGTTGGTTGTTTTGTGACATGTCTTTTCCCCATCAAGGTTCCAAGCTGCATGTGGTGCCCAACAAGTCTGGTGGTGAATGGCAATGTCCAGGAGTTCCCACTGCCAGTTCCATCTCAACCTCTCAACTTCACAAACAGCACAGGCCTGCGGTATGAAGCTGACCAAGTGAGGCAGTGTCTCCAGAAAGGTAACTCCTTCTGTAAGGAACGATGCACTGGTCCCATTATCTACACCATCAGGCCATAATAGCTCTGCCTATAAACATGAAATGGTATTAAAGAAATGTGGAAAAGCTTTCAGAGTAGATTCCTGAAGACTGCGTTTCCCCTCACTGTAGTTTGTGCTGGAGGGGACTGTGGTATAACAGTGGATTTTTGTCACTGTTCTGCAAGGCAGCCAGAACAGGGATGTGATCTGGTCTACACAGCTCAGTTACAGGATCACCTAATTGGAAAATTCAGATACTGTATACTGGGATTGTACAGAGATTTTAGCTGAACTCGGGAAGGAAGCTACTGCTATTTTAACTTGTGTTTTAATTGCAGGGCTTAAGGAGTGTCCTGAGCTGCCACTGGCTGAGAGTGAGCTGATAATGAGCATTTTGGATGAGGCACGAAGGCAGCTGGGGGTAGTATACACACAAGACACAGCCTGAGGCAAGAAAAACTCCAAATGCTGCGTGAATGACATGAAAATGCTGTCCCCATTCTCCCATTGCTGCTGAAAGCTTTCTAAAAAAAAACACACCACAGCCAGGCACTCTGGTTGCTGCTGCACGGAGGATCCTATGATACAGCCAATCAAACATACCTCAAATTATAGAATTAATCACGGAACATCGTACAGCACAATGCTGGCCAACCCCATGCACCCTGGTTGAAATTCTCTTCTAAACAGCTTGTACTTCCAGTGCAGAGACAGTAGAGCCAGAATACAGAAACTGACAGTTACCCTAGCACCATCAGATGAAAGTACCTTGAAACTTAACATTGCTGCACTCAAAAACCAACTAACCCAGCCACAGGTCCAAGATTGCTATTCAGTGACAGCACCTGGGAGGTCTAATAGGGGCTGTCCTGTGCAGTGTGTACATGTTTCTGATGTTTAACTGCGCCACACCAATCAAATAAGATTGAATTCACTACAAAATAAAATCTGGTGCAAACACCTGAATGTCATACTGATTTGACTCAGTAAAGAGGCCTAGAAATGCTTGTATCACCAACAATGGGAAACAAACATCACACTTTCAGGCAACACAAGGTTTGTCCACATATTTTATTATGACTGACTCATCTCAACCAATCATTCAGAACTTCTGGAATTGTTTCTTTGCTCCTGCAGCTTTGGTGACCTTGAGGACATTGAAACGCACAGTCTTACTGAGAGGCCGACACTCTCCCACAGTCACACTGTCCCCATTCTGCACGTCCCTGCAATGAGAAGACAACTCTGTCAGAACATGAAGGCACTGGCCTTGTTCAATAATGAAACCAGTAACCACGGGTTTCACATAATAGATCAAATTGCTACAGCAGAGACCAATCTTACCCTCATACCTGCAGGGCCAAATGGATGATAGACTAAGAGCAGCAGTACTATTCATCTCACCACTCCCTGACCCACTTACTATCTCAAGAGTTGCCTCCTCCACCTCATGTCGCCCATTACTACTCCCTCTATTTCAGCCCTCCCATAATTTATTTCTTTGTTCACAGCTTGTGATGAGATAGTCAAAGGTTAACCACATTGCTGTGGGTCTGGAGTCACACTAGATAAGGATGGCAGATTTACTTCCCTATAGAGCCTTAATAAAAACTTTTAAGAACAGAAATGACAACTGACAATAGTTACAAGGTTACCATCAGTCCAGCTCTTTATTCGAGATTTTATTGAATTCAAATTTCACTACCTGCCACTGTGGGGTTTGAATCCATGTCCCCAGAACATTGGCCTGGGTTCCTGGATCACTACCACTGTGCCACCAATCCTCCACTGACTCCAGGATGATCAAAGACCTTCAGGCAGAGAATGAACAATCCTACTGAAATTCAGGGGTGAATAGCTGCCTGCTCCAGAGCCTCTAGTGGCTGCCTACAGTATTAAAAATCAACAAATACTGGTCTCCTAAGATTGAGGCCCTCAGTATTCTAACATTAAAAAAAAGATAAAACCCACGAAGGTGGCTTGAGTTGTGGATAATGTGGAGGGCTGTTCTAGGTTACAAAGGGACATAGATAGGATGCAGAGCTGGGCTGAGAAGTGGCAGATGGAGCTTAACCCTGAAAAGTGAGGTGATTCATTTTGGAAGGACAAACTTGAAAGCAGAATACAGGGTTAACGGAAAGAATCTTGGCAGTGTGGAGGAGCAGAGGGATCTTGGGGCTCACGTTCACAGTTCCCTGAAAGGTGCCACCCAGGTGGATAGAGTTGTTAAGAAGGCATGTGGTGTGTTAGCTTTCATTAATAGAGGGACAACTTCAACAGCTGTGAAGTTATGCTCCAGCTATACAAAAGCCTGGTTCGGCCACATCTGGAGTATTATGTCCAATTCTGGTTGCCTCATTACAGGAAAGATGTGGAAGCGTTGGAAAAGGTGCAGAGGAGATTTACCAGGATGTTGCCTGGAATGGAGGGAAGGTCTTAAGAGGAAAGGTTAGAGAGCTAGGGCTTTTCTCTTTAGAACGACGAAGGATGAGAGGTGACTTGATAGAAGTGTACAAAATGATCAGAGATATAGATAGAGTGGACAGCCAGAGACTTTTCCCTAGGGTGGAGGTAGCTATTATGAGGGGGCATAGTTTTAAAGTGAGTGGAGGTAGATATAGGGGAGACGTCAGAGGTAGGTTCTTTACTGAGAGTGGTAGGGGAATGGAATGCACTGCCAGAGAGGGTAGTGGAGTCGGCCTCATTAGGGGCATTTAAGCAGCTATTAGATAGGCATATGGATGATAGTATAAGATAGGGGTGGGGGTTAGACAGACTTTAGGTTTAGGGTAAAAGTTCGGCACAACGTCATGGGCTGAAGGGCCTGTACTGTTCTATGTTCTATAAAACAGAAGAAACGTCAAAGTTTAAAAACAAATGATCTTGGCTGATACGAGAAAAGACGAGCAAACCTTTGGTCCAAACCTTCAATTACCCACTTCTGGCAGGTCATCACATTCCTGACTTTCCATACATCCAGAATTTGTGTGTGACAACTTCTTAAAGCGGCCCAACTGAGGTCAACAGGATGACCTACAGGATGGATGCTGTGAACAGCCATGGAACCCACTCATAACAAGGGGCAGTGTCTTCAAATGGGCAAGGAGGGACAAAATCGTCACACTGTCCATTCAGACAGAGACGGACATGAAGCTTGTATCAGATGCCATGCTCAGGGAATGGATTCAATGACATCCACAAGCTTCTGCTTCTGTGGAACTATGCAGACCATCAAGACGATCCACGTCACAGACATCATCCCAGAACCCCCACATACTGTAGCTGTTAAATCTGTGCAGGGCATAAACTAGACCCAAGACACCTGCCAATAGCACTGAAAGAGTGATGCAAGGGATACCTGAAGCAGGGCGATAGGTGTACAGACATGTTCTTGTGTCGCTTCTCGAAGCGGTTGTACTTCCTGATGTAATGCAGGTAGTCTCTGCGAATAACAATGGTTCGCTGCATCTTCATCTTTGTTACAACACCTACCAGAAAAGAGATCATAGTGTGAAATACATTCATGCAACCTCATGCTCATACTGACATTATTTTTGAAAGCACTTAGATAAATCTTAAGTAGGGAGTACAGAACAATATTTGGTAAACCAAACCATGCAAACATCAGAAGAATATAATGTGACTGGAAATGTTTTCTGTCCAGTCACCTGAAAAAATAAACAGGATGCAGCGAGGTTAGTCCCACCTGTTAGGATTCGGCCCCGGATTGACACATTTCCAGTGAATGGACACTTCTTGTCGATGTAGGTTCCATCAATGGCCTGGGACAGAGAAGAGGGCACATATTAAGTGTATATTTGGGTCTAGATTTAAAGGAGGTGGGCTTAAACATGGAGGGAGCTGCATCAGCAATGCCATTGGGCAGCATCGTCAGGGTCTCAAAGACTTGGAAGACCATCGTGAAAAGGAACATCATTTGCAGCTTTAACACTCACCCTCTTTAAACCATTAGGTAGTCTTCCGGTAAATTATACAAGACTACTTACAGAAGCAAAATTTAAAGACCTCATTCATAGTTTGGTATGGCAATTGCTCTGCCCAGTCCATCATGAAAATCAACCTTCCTTCCATTGACTCTGCCCACACTTCCCAATATGTTGGCTGCTTCCCCAACTCAAAGGCCCCTCCCACCTTGGTAATACTCTCTTCCACCCTCCTCCATTGGGCAGAAGATACAAATGTTTCAGAACACGTAACAAAAGATTCAAGAAGAGCATCTTCCCTGCTGTTATCAGACTTATGAATGGACCTCGCATGTATTAGAGTTGACCTTCCTCTGCACCTTTTCTGTTGCTGTAACACTATATTCTGCATTCTATTCCATTACCATGATGTATTCATATAAAAAGGTATGATTTGTCCAGTTAGCACACAAAACAATATTATTCACGGTATCTCAGTACGTGACAATAATAAAATCAAATTCTAACCTCCAGTCGACTAAAACAATACCAGCATACCCTCCATTCCAGTCATATGAGTCAGTAACTGCACAAATGTTTCGGACAACTTATGTAAAGCATCTGCTCCTGCAACAACCGAGTGAGCGAGGTAGTGGACAGCTCCTCAAATTATGTTAGAACTCGCAGCTAAAGATCAGAGACACAAGATTAAGACTGCTCCTCATCGGAAATATTGATCTTTGACACCATAGTAGACTCCAGTTTTTTTCAGGCCGTCTCTAACTGGCTAAAGAGCCATGGACACCTCACTGAAAGGTCTTCGCTGCGGCTGCACCTTTCCCCACGGACGGGCCCTGCTCACAACAACGTGCGCGGCGCGGCCCGGCCCGACCCGGCGGGGCCTCACCTCTCGTGGGGTCTTGAAGCCCAGGCCTACATTTCGGTAATAGCGGGGGAGCTTCTCCTTGCTGCCCTCACCCACGAGTGCTCGCTTCTTGTTCTGGAAGATGGTGGGCTGCTTTTGGTAAGCCCTCTCAGTCTGGGATGGGGAAAAAAAATAACAACATACAGAAGATTAACGGAAAAGGCTGTGTGGAAAAACCGCGCAGAATACTAGAAAAGAAAAAATTACAGTGAATGGAAATATACTCAGCGGCACAAAACCGCTGATATTTAATTAATTTATCTCCATCACCTGGTTATCCGCCATTTCGCGCTTCAATCCGGGGAAGAGGGCGACCAGCCGCCACGGGGTCTCTTATAATGCGCTGCATGGCAGGAAATGACATCAGAGATAACAAGGTGCAGGGCCGGATGAACACGGCAGGCCAAGCAGCATCATAGGAGCAGACTGGAAGAGATCGCGCATGAACGTCAGGATATGACGACATTGTACGGCGCAAGTAGGACGACATACAACGCGATCCCCTGTGTACGCTACCATTTGGGCAAGTTCCCATCATGCTTTTACAGAAATCAGATCAATTATGAAGGACACTCAATATAGGGATAACCCAACACCAGATATATATCAGTACAAATGTCCCCAACAAACGGGGACAGCATAACTACTATTGGTTTGACGTTAATCAACTTACAGAGTTACCTAAGGGCAGGACCTTCACAATTCAACAGAAGTATCAAGAAAATTCCAGCATCTGGCGTGTGAAGAGGAAACCCTCATCCTTGTCAATATTGTTCAGAATTAATTGGTTTAATGAATACCTAGTTGCACAGGATTGAAGGTCTCACTGACCTTTTGCTCAAAAGACTGCAGGCAATTACCCTCATGATTCAGAATAGAATCACATACAAACCTGCTGGCAACATGATTTAATTAATCCTGCCTACACAACTTTAAATTACTTTCTCCAGCATGTTAAAAAATATACAATTCCATTTAATACTTCAGTGCTCCCAATATTTTAATTACATACCTTATTCTTTGCTTTAACTTATTTGAAGAAACATGGATAGAATATGTACTTTGGACTTCATTTGTTAAAAAGTGACATTGATGTACCAAAAGAAAAAGTGACAGATATTGGTTATTACAATTTCAGCAGCAAAGCAAATGGTTAAGAAGTGAATGTTACCTTTCGAAGTTAGGAAAACAGACTGATTCAATTGAGTGGCACATGGACTATAATACTATCATTGGATTTCAATGAATAGTAGCCTGTCAAATTATTGCACCCTTGAATTGTGAAAGAAACTGAATTGGACACAGCAGTACAGCCACACACTGCTCTACTAAACGGGGGCGGTGAATGGTTTGAGTTCTGTTTTGGATGGGATGACCTATCAGAAGGTTTGCACAGCGGTAAGACTGTCTGAGATCTGATGGCCTGTTGTGAAAGGAATAGTCCAACCTCATGTCCTGCCAACAGCAGGTACAACATACAAAAATAATGATCCACATTTACTGATTTTAATTAAATATTTAAATGCTAAATGACTGAACGCACACACTCATGGGTATAGAGGCAGCTATGAGCGCTTGATCAGGAGAACATCTTATTGTAGTGGAGTTAAGTGTGACACAGACAAATGGGTCCATACATTCAGTCACTTAAATCAAAATTTGGGCACAGCTGTTTGGCCTTGGTGTGAAGTCATTACAATCAGACCAGGGTTACCATACACCCAACTGACAGTGGATCATGAGGTTCAAGTGGGTCTTTAACAAGTTCAGGACCATGGCTCAAATACAGAAAGGCTGAGTTCCAAAGTCAATCTCCGTTTTCTTATATCTTCCCCTTGTGCACACAGGGGCATTTTTAGTTCATGTATTTTGACAGATATTCATCAATAGCAAGTCAAAGTTCAGCAGGAGCTTTCATTCCATCACGTTTCTAGTTGGAGCGAGTCAAAAAGGTTGGCCTTGTAATGAATAAACTACCTCCAGAAAAAAAAAAATCAGTGAAATCAACAGTGACACTAGATTATCTAGTGAATTACCCGCATCAGTCTGATCAGTCAGCCCTGGTGACTGCAGCTTCACTCACAATCTGCTGCACTAAAATTTAGACAACAATTTACATAAATGTACTTTTTGGGGATTCTTATGAATAACAGACACACGTAGTCAGATGAATATTATCTGTATCTTTACAAAAACATTCTTAATATAAAGTACTTAATACTTCCTAAGTACATTACAAACATCAAGACTAGGTTGAAAAATCTTCATTAAGAGCATAAATATACCGACTCTCACTGGGACACGGTCCCTGAAGATGCTGACTGCCACTGGGATACAGTCCCTGAAGGTACTGCCCCTCACTGGCAAACACAAATGTAGCTTTACCCACAACCTACTCAATAACATCTCTTACATTTGTTTCTCTCTGTTGTCTTCCATCCCTACAATATCTCTCCTGAGCGTTTATCGGTGTATCAATGTTCTTCACTCTCCATCCTTGTGCTTCTCTACAGCAGCAATCTTGATACCTCTTAATTTGAAACACAGAGTTGGAGGACTGATAGTCTCTCATTGCTCAAGTAATTGACTTCAGCTGGGACCTAATAGTCCAGATTAAATAGATGTTTGGAAATTTGGGCCTATGTGTGATGGCCTTCAGAGTGAAATAGAATACTGAAGCCCATCATGGGTTCAGATACGAAGAACGTTTACCAACAGAAGATGAAGGAAAGCTTGTGAGACTACACTGAGTGGTTTTGACGCAAGATGTAGCAGAACATGTATTAGGGTTCACATAAGATCAAGTCTCTGAGAATTGTTCTTTTAGTGATGGAGATACCCAGCCACCATGACCCAGCATTTAACCACCAATCAGGAAAGCTCAGAACCCTGCTTCAACTCACAAGGAGGGACAAGTATTTCCCCAGCGTTGAGCAGATGAACTGGGAGGGAATATAACGCTCCTACTATTCCATGGAATTACAGCTTAGAATAAATAATGTTGTTAAACTTTCCCCAACATCCATCCCTGAAGGCAGCTAGGTGGGGAACCAGCATTACCCTGGGGAGTTGCGAGCCTCCCCTCCTGTAATTTCTCTAAGCTGCACAGCAGTATATCATTTGGAATATTCTGAAAAGTGCAACAAACTGACCACACAAGAAAAATTGGAGGCAACGTTGGTCACAAAGCAACTATACACTCACTTTCCAGCAGAGGGCAGTGGATGGAGATCAGGAGCAGGTTCCCTGACTAGTTATCCTGCCACAGACGAACACAAAAGCACAGCTCGGAAGTGCAAGCATCTTATCTGTGTGGGTCAGTGTACCATCTGTTGTAGAACTCACCCATTGAGGCACCCATGGAGCTGGTTTGGTTTTAATACAGGTTTGAGCTCTGTAACACAACTGCAGTGTAGCCACTGTCAGAGAATCTCAGTCTCATTAGGAGGAACAGATTCCAATAATAAAGTTGACAGGTAAATGGGGAGAGGGCAACAAAAAGACAAGAATCTGTTAATGGGATCTCTTTAGCTAGGAAATTGAAGGATTTGTCAGGAGAGTGCCTACTGTAGCACATTTTTCAGCAATGACTGGTTTTCAGCTTATGTGCCTGGAATATTAAATGTGATCAGCAGCATCTACATTTTACAGTCACCATCAGAACCTTGGATAATTGATTAGAAACTGTCAGAGTTTCTCATTTCACAGTACCAACCAATTCCAACCATTGTACACAAGATATTACTGCACTGGTAGAATCAAGCTAAATGGGTCAAATTCACTTCATCTTCCTGCTTAATTTTATTGTTAAGCAATATATAGAAATGCAAGTTCTTGGCAAACATTTAATCAGCAATGATCAACAGTGATACCACAGTGAATAGCATACCATTCCAGACCCGACACTGTGGAGCACACCATGTGGTTTTAAATCAAAGCCAGAGCAGGGCTGTAAAACTCAGCAGATCTCTACCTCTGGGTAAAGTATCGAGAAAACTGATTCAGATTCAGTTTCAGCAATGCTGCAGATCAAGATCAAACACAGGTTAGTCAGGAGGGAATGTAGGGAAATGATTTAAAAATCCAGCTCACAGCTCCCTGATGGACCCTCTGTTTTTGAGGGCCTGGGATCACTCCTTGCTTTGTTGTGATTTATCTTTTGTATTGAAATACAGGACTGTTATCCAGTCTGGCTGGAAGAGTTGAATGTCCTGCAGATCCAATAAATACAACTTATACACACAGATGTAGACAAAATAGTAGACATTTCTGTGGTTTTTTGCAAAGTATTAAACTGGGGATTTTTATATCACTACCAAGTTGTCTTAGTTTCTTCTCCTTTCTCCCTCCTCCTACAAAGGCAGTCTTGTGTTTATGCAAGACTTCCTATCATTAGGCATTGACTTCACTTCTCAGTGCTTCCATCTACTGACCTGAACAGTAAATGCCAAAGGAAAGGGAAAGAGATAGTCGTGCAATCTGGATCCTTACCTAATTCAATTTCTTCACATTTACAACTCCAATCAAGGTCTTTGACTAATGATCAGGAGTAGGAAACAAGCTGACTATCCTTTCACTAACACACCAAAAACCAGTGTGACCATCCACAGGGGATACTGCTCAGCTCTGAAGGTTTGCATTGTCAGGCTACAAGCTAGTGATAATCTGGTGTACCTGGCCTCCTTAGAATATGTTAGCATCAGCTGGGTAAACAGGCTAGGAACACACTAAAATAAACTGCCTATTACCAAGGGTTACTGACTGGGTCTTCCCAGTATCAGATTGAGAACAAGTACTATTCCTGCTTGCCTGAGGCAGAACGCTGGTGTATCCATCAGGGAGGAGAGGATGCCTATCCCTGGTTTGTGAATGAAGGATGCTCTATCAACACAAGCAAATGCCTGGGACATTGAGGAATCTGCTGAGTGTGATCACTGTTAAACTGCAGGAGTGGGAGGCATGTGTATGGAGGGAGTGGGATGGAGGTGGTGGTGAGAAGAGAAGGGGAGGGGGTCACAGGACTGTGCTTTCTCAGACTGGAAAATTTCCTAAACACAATGCACTGGTAACTGATGCAACTTTAACCAAATTGAGAAGAGGGTGAAAATGGTGAATGTGATTGAGCAGAAATCTGTTTGGAATTTACTCTCAATTGTAATTCCCCCAACACATCAGAACACCACACTCATCTTATTAATTAACAAAGTAAAAATTTCATGCAATGTTTAAAATATTATGACATGACTGGTTTAGCTAGCTGTTCCAATTATTATTTAATTCATTTAGTAAGATAATATAACTTGAGCTTGATCTAGTGTGAAGAGCTGTCACAACGAGCTATAAAACTAGAGCAGATTCATCACGACTGCTGTTTGCAAACTCTCAAAAGCTGAGATTATTCTGATATCAGTTTTACTTCACTGATCAATTAGCTTTTGTCAAATTCCTATGTACAATTTAACAGCATCATTCAACTATTTTTTGGAAATGGGTTTGCAGGACATTTACGACCCATGTGGTGCTCCATGAGACCTGCCCTAACATAAGCCTGGGTTGGAAATATCTGTGCAATATTTCACCACGAGAGTTAAATCTGATTGTGTCCATGCTCAAAATTAACACACTAGAACCTTGGCTAGTTCTCCTCCCATTGGTGTAGATACCAACTTTGGTATCCTGACTAGATGAGTTACCTCAACACAGACTGGGAATTAAAATGACTGCTTCTGCTCTCCGTTCACCTGGATGGCACACTCACTGAACAATCTGGGGAGTTTCCTTGCTTTATTTGGGGGTTGGGTGGGGGGGATGTTGCGCTGTATTCTCAACTACCCCATCCTGTGTTTACACTGTTGCTGTATAGCTGATTTATAACTCTGACCACAACCTCCTGGTGTGCATGAAAAGGGTCTGCTCAGTATGCATATTATCCCAGGTAAATCCAGCATGTGTGGAATTTACTTGGTTCAGCCTCGCACACGTGTTTATATAATGTGGGTGGCCATGTGCCTTTCCAGCAAAGTCTTGTGAGAGAAACGCTTGTTACAGACGTGACATTCGAAAGCCTTCTCACCACGATGCAGCCGCATGTGCACATTCAAGGAGCTCTTTTGTGTGAAACGTTTATTGCACACCGGGCACTGGTACGCTCGCACTCCTGTATGTGTGACCATATGTTTTATCAAGTAGTCCCTAAGCGAGAATGACCGCCAACACACGCTGCATTGATGGGGTTTTTCACCTGCAGAGGAGGTGGGGAGAAAAGAGATCAGTAAATCAGAGAAGAATGAGACTGCAACGGCAGAAAATGAACATCATTAAAAACCATTCAGTAGGTAATGAACTGATGGCCTAATGTGCGAGAAGGAGCCAGACCGTGCACATATTCACAGTTTTCATTGCCAACCTGAGCTGAGTAACTGATGCGACAGCATTAGGCGTGGAGGGTGGTGTTGCTAGGTGGTCACCATCAGCATCACAAGGCTAGGGATAAAGGAAAACCAAACAAAATTATTGTTCCTGACCACTGCCTTGTCACTCTGCTGGATATTAGGAGTCTGGTCATTTAAAAGGCGGCTGACCAGCCTCCAATATTGCAATATGTCTCAACATCTCCATGAGAGGAGAAAGTATCGAGTAATTAGTAACAGTGAGCCAGGACTTGAAGTACTTGAAGATGGCCTCCAGTTTGATCCTTCTCAAAAACGGCAAATGTCGCAGAACTGAAAAACCAGGCTCCTGCATTCACAGCTCTTTCTTTTCCATCATTGCCAGATCTGTGCTTCCTGGAACTCTCATTCTAGCCACTTCCAGCTGCAGCTAACACCCAACCCCCAACATTCCTACCCGGTCTTCCATTGGCTGATCCAATGTGGATAGCTGCACCACAGCATCACAGTAAAATTTGCAGTAATGTACAGGTGCTCCTAGTAACATATCACACAGAATTTAAAACAAGTCTTGATGGTGGTGTGCTCAGAAGGCTCGGGTGCTTTGCATTTCCTGTTAGTGAGGGGATCGGATTCTGAATGTGATGATTACTTTTCATCTATTGGTATTACATAAAGCTACAGCCATTTAAAGCAACAGGTTTAATGATCATGATCAGCCTCATTTTATCCTGTGCTCAGTGAGTTCATTATGGCAAATGACACCAATGAGAGTCAGCACCTTCAGGGAAGAAATGGAGAAAATTGAAACTAAATCTCAATATTTATTCTCTACCAGTCATCCTAGGAATAGCATCTGGGTTAAAGAATGGGATAGAAAGAATGGTTTTAACTAAAATGAACAATGATGATGAACTCACCTGTGTGGACAAACATGTGCTTGGCGTAATTCTGTCTGGAACTGAACGTCTTCCCACATTGTGCACATCCATAGGGCTTCTTTTCGGTTTCACTGGAACTGTGACTGGCCTGAGAGGTAGCTGGAACTGTCTGGCCTCCATCTAGAAACGCAGCCGGGTTTTGGCAAGGTGGCTGAGCTGAAATGCTGGGCATACATGTCTGTGAGGTGGACGGCAAAGCTGGAAGGTGAGGTGACTGAGGAAGGTTCATCTGGAAGAGGTTCCGGTGACTGGCAGCACTGGCTGCATTGTTATCTCCCTGAACATCATACTGCACAGAGCAGCCTTGGTTTCGTGGATTATTATGCACAGCTGATGCTGGGAGAAAGTCTTGCATGAATGTTGAAGGCCGTTGGTAGGATGCATCAAGTTGGGACTTGCAGTCTACTTTTCGGTTTTGTGGTAAGGAGGGTTCCTTCTCCTCTTTCTCTCCATGCCAAAAGGACTTCAGTTCCTCAGGTAAGAGATCACTAGCATTGAAAAATTCCAACTCGTCCCCTTTGCCGCTCAAACTCAAATGACTGGCAGAATCTCTTCGATCCCCCATTGTGCTTTGATTGGGATCAAAGGCATTTGTCTCAGAGATATCCTCAGTTTGCTCACCTTGGTTGATATGCTCAGCAGTTTGATCGGAGACACTTGCACTGGAGATGCTCTCCCCACAGTAAAGGAGATCATCATCTTCTTCCTTGATGGTCACTTGACTTCCATCTGCCATCTGGAGGCGGATTGGCTGGCGCTGCTTGCGACTGTGGCTGCCTTGTGGTAAAAATGGCATTTCTGGACGCTGATTGGCTGCAGTGTTGTACCATAGAGCACGTACCTCACTGTTACGGCCAGTGTCCATCAGAGACAGATTCTCCTGGTCAGCAATGGCCTGCTCTCCAACTCCCTTTTGTCGTGTAGGTGGAACTTGTCTGCTCAGATTAGGGCTAATTTCTTCAGCTTTGTACCCTGTGTCACTTGTTGCCATGTTCTTTGTACCTCCGCGTACAAAATCAAAATCTTTCTCTGTTCCATGAGGTGACAATGCTGTTTCAATTAAACCCATAGAAAATTTGTGGATCTGGTCACTGACTGACTGGCAAATAATGGCTTCTTTCTCATCAGAAAGGTCCATCTTTTGGCTGACCAATGGTTGGAGTCCCTGAGTCTTTTGTGGGGCATTTTGCGAAATAATGCGTGTACATTCATCAATGATGGTTTTAATCTGAAGAACACTTGCTGCTGTGAGGATTTGCAGAGCCTCCACGTGAGAGACCATCAGTGAGCCACTGTACATGAAATCCACCAGCCGCCGTAGAGTCTGGGCCGAAACAAGGGGAGGCACCTCGATCTCGCTGTAACCCAGCAAGAGTTTATCGTGGAAAAAAGGGCTAGCTGCAGCCAGAACGCAGCGGTGTGCTCGAAGAGCTGTGTTGTGGATCCTCACTGTTACATCACAGAAATGGCCACCCAGGCGCTGGGAATTCAGTGTCTCCAGCAGTGACTTGCTAAAGTTTTGGAGGTTGATGCTGTGAAGCTGCTCCGACATCCTGCTCAGTTGCACTGCACTGCCTGACAATGCCTGTAAACCAATGGAAAAAGTGAGGATAGGGGGAAATGGAGGCTGAGGGGGTGTGAGAATGTCACGGGGGTTGTAGAAGGGGAAGAAGCTGATGGTCTCATACTGGCATATGTGGGTGGGGCTGTCTCCTCCCTTCTCCTTCCCTCACAACAGGATTTTGTGCAGGGGAGGGTAATGGTGGTCGTTCCCCTCCCCCTCACACAGCAGTGGGACGGGGGGGGTGGGGGAAAGGGTGTCATTCCCCACCCCCTCACAGACCAGTGCCACGGTGGGAGGGGGACGACATTCCTCTCCCCCTCACACAGCGATTGGGGGGGGGGTGGACATTCCCCTCCCCCACACACAGCAGTGGGACAGGGTGGGGGGTGGATATTCCCCTCCCCCTCACACAGCAGTGGGACGGGGGTGTCGCTCCCCTCCCTCTCACACAGCAGTGGTACGGGGTGGGGGGGGTGGTTATTCTCGTCATTGAGATTTTTTGGGGGGGGGTGAACGCTGTCACGTGCTTCCCACTATCGAATCAGCGAGCAGCCGAGACGAGGCCATTGACCCCTGACCCGCTCCGCTTTCCTTGATGTGCCGGAGTAGTCTGGGTGGGAATTATCGTCAGGGACTGGGCTGCCTTGACACCCGCTCTCTTCAGATTGTGTTCTGCTGGGCCGGTGGGGACCCAGGGCCGCGCTCCCTCAGGCGACACTAACCTCCAGTCAGTCTCCAGCCGGGCCCTGCGTCATGGCGCAGCGCGACGATGACGTCAAGGCGCAAGGCGGATACCGCCGGCAACGCCTGTTGCGCATGCGCAAAAACATCGCACTCTGGAAAAACGTAGACGTCTTTATTGAAGCCACCTGAATTTCCTCGGACTCCCGAATATTCTCGGACCTGAGCCTTCCATCATCGCGAGGGCAAGAACGCTACCTGCCCCCAACTCCGCCCTGCGTCTGTGCGCCGTGACGTAAGTTTGAGGCTCCTGGGTCGGCCATTTTGGTGAGGTCAACGAGGATAGTGTAAGGGAAGACGGGTGTTGGGGGAGGGGAAGGGATAGGATAGGGGTAGAGATAATTGGGATATAGGATGGGGGGGGTTCGGAGGAGTGGGGTGATGAGGGAACGAGAGGAGATTATAGTCATGGGGCATGGTACGGATGGAGGGATAGGGGATGATGGGTGGAAAATGGATGGTATGGGGTGGAATGGGGGAGGGATTATGGTCAAGGGAGTGATGGGTATGTGGAGGGTGGGTTGGAAAGGATGGATGGGAAGAAAAGTGATGTGTGGGGGTAAGTGGGAGGTGGTGAATGGGATATAGAAGTGGGGAAATGGATGGTGTGGGAGTAGGGGAGGAAGTAATAGGGACGATTGGAGGAACAGGAGATAAGAGGGAGGGTAATTAAGGAGAGCATGGTGGTGGCAGGGGAATTGCGGTGGGCTTCAGTGTTGGATAATGAGGAGTGGCATTAGGAAGAGGGGTATGGGGAATAGGGTGAATTTGGGGGGAGGTGGGGCATTAGAGAAATTGGAAGGGTGAATTATGAAATGGTGGGATTGAGAGGGGTTGGATTTGGGCAGGGGAGTGTGGGGAAGGAAGGGGTGAAGCTTGAGGGAAGCGGCAAGATGGAATGGGTGAGGTGACGGAGTAAGGCAAAAGTGTGGGGTGGTTGGGAAGGGGAGAAGAGGGTTAGAAGATAGAAGGGAGGGTGTTGGGCTGGGAGAGATGGAGAGTGGGGGATTGCTGGTATGAAAGACGAGAAAGGAAAGGGGAATGATAGAAGAGTGAAAGGTAATGAGGAGGGAGAGAGATGTTTGTACCAGGGTGAGATGGAAGAAACAGCTGGTTGGGGGAATAAGAAATGGGAGGTGAAGGGTAGTTGTAAAGGGAATGGGGTGGGGGAAGGAGAGGGGAGAGACTGAGCAGCAGGATTCATAGGGTTTGCCTGTGGGGAGAGATGGTGCGTGCTTCCATTTCGGGGTGTGGATGAATAGATGGTGTGGTTGGACGCAAGCAAAGAGCGGTTACCGGCTATGGGGTTCAATGTGGTCTGACTCTGGTGAACTCTTCTTAGGTCGTGCAGGGGTCAGAGCAATGCCCCGACACTGCTCGGCTGAGGGCTGCACATCACGGGACACCAAGGATTCAAGAATTAATGGAGTCACATTTCACAGGTCAGTGAGACCTCTCCCTACCCTACCCTCTAGGTTGATTCCTTCAGTGAGGGTTGTTTCTCCCTCTTTTGCTGAGGTTTGTTTAATCCCCCACCCAGTCATACTTTACTGTGGTCACATTCACTTCTCATTAGTTTCATTTTACTTAGGTTGCCCAAGAAGGGAAGACATCAGCGTGAGATCTGGTTGCTGAATTGTTGCCGCAAGAACCCAGATGGGACAGTTCCCTGGGATCCACCGTCGCAGTTCATCTATTTCTGTTCAAAACATTTTGAGAAACACTGTTTTGAGCTTGTGGGGCTGAGGTAATTTGTAGCATCTGTCAAACCTTGGTCCAATATGCCTTGCTTCAACAAATCACTACAGCCCATTAATAATTTGAGTGGCATGGTGGTTCAGTGGTTAGCACTGCTACTGCACAGCGCTAGGGATCCTCCAGGTGCTCCAGTTTCTCCCCACAGACCAAAGATATGCAGGTTAGATGGATTGGCCACGATAAATTGCCCCGAAGGATGTGCAGGCTAGGTAGGTTGGCCATGGGAAATGCAGGGTTATAGGAATAGGGTTGGGGTATTGTGGGATGCCGTTCAGAGGTTTGGTGTGGACTCGATGGGCCAAATGGCCTGCTTCCACACTGTAGGGATTCTTTGATGCTATTACACGCTGCTCCACAGATTACTATGGATTACCAGACCCATGTCTATCAGATCACCAAGACCTGATAGACCCTGGTTTGCCCAATCCCTGGAACATCAGATCAATTGTATCACATCTGTGGGCTGAAGAGTGGCAGATGGAGTGTAATTTGGATAAATGCGAGGTATTGCATTTTGGTAAAATGAACAAAGGCAAGACCGACACAATTAGAAGTAGGGCTTCGGGTAGGGCTCTAGAACAGAGAGACCGAGGCTTTGAGGTTTATGTCACATATAGATAGGATGGTTAAGAAGGTGTTTAAGCATGCTTGCCTTCATTGTTCAGACCTTTGAGTATAGGAATTGGGATGTTATGCTGAAGCCTTTTCTGGAGTTACATAGTACAGTTTTGGTCTCTCCGTTACACAAAGGAAATTATTAAGTTGGAGAGGGTTCGGAAGATAGTTACCAGGATCTTGCGGGGAATGGAGGGTTTGAGTTTTAAGGAGAGGCTGGATAGACTGGAACCTCTTTCACTGGAGAATAGGAGGATGGGGGATGACCTTATAGAAGTTTATAAAATAATGAGGGGCATAGATAAAGTGAATGGCAGGTGTTTTTTTTCCCTTAGGGTGGGGGATTTCAAGACTAGGGAGCATATTTTTAAGTTGAGAGGAGACAGATTTAAAACATGAGGGGCAATTTTTTTTACATAGAGAGTGGTTCGTGTGTGGAATGAACTTCCAGAGAAAGTGGTACAGCTTTTAAAAGACATTTAGACAAGTTCATGAATAAGAAGTGTTTGGAGAGATGTGGACCAAGTGCATGCGGGTGGAACTAGTTTAGTTTGGGATTATGTTCGGCTGGTTGGACAGAAGGGACTGTTTCTGTGCTGTATGACTCTGAGATCCTTGTCCATGTGTTCTTTACAGTCTCTTAGATTGCCAAGGTCCATCAGATTCCTTAGCCCATCAGATCTTGGCTCACCTAATCACCACTGTTTATCAGTTCCCAGTTCACTTGATCACCAGTCCAACAGATCCCAGTTCGTTCTCCCAAACCATCAGACCATAGTTTGATGGATCACCCTGGCCTTTCAAATCTGTTGCCTTATACCATCAGACCTGGGTTCCTCTGGTCACTGTGGTTCATCAGACCCTAATCACCCAGATCCAACACATCACAATTCAGGCCAGCTTTATTTCCGGGTGTGTGTGTGTGGAGGAAATTCACTGCTTTCCTTGTTTTCTTCCCCCAGTCGTTATCACCGCCTGCGAGATGATGCTGTCCCCACATTATTTCAGCCGTGTCCTCAGGCAAAGGTGGCGCTGAGTGGGGGACACAATGAAAAATCATTGTCTGTACGCACCAATGAATGGTGAGAAACTTCTGGTGACGGCTTTAACCATGTGATTCACAGGATGTATACTGCTTGGAAACCATTTATGCTGTTCACTCGAAATCAATATCTTAACTAAAAATGCTTTTTGTATTTCTTCTATTACTCTGTTCATTGACTCAGTGCAAATGGCTAGTGCATGCTCGAGTGTTAGAGACCAGATGGTTGATGTAGAGACTGCAGTTTCCTGTCAGGGATAGATGAGTGCTGCCTGTCTCCAGCCACTGGATCAGGGAAGGGACAAGAGAGCCAAGACTCTTAATCTTTAAGTAGTTACCTATTTGTGAGATGTTAAATGAGGGCACAGTCAAGCTCATTGTGATGCCATTTCAGTCAAGTATTCAGTAGCTACTGCTTGTCTGCCAACAATCAGATAATGGTCATTTTGGTTAGGCAGTGAAGAATGAACAGCACTCCAGAGTTCTTAAGAATAGGGGGAGGAAACTGACGTTAAAATATCCACAATTGATAGCTCCCTGTCCTTTTATTAACCTTCAGCTAATTTCCTTCCTATCTATCTAACAGCTTCACTGATGGCAGCGCCTGTTTACCTGCTCCTGATCTCAGGAACGCTGACACTAGCTCAGAGATGGGCTTCAGCATTTCTCAAGATGGTTCTTCCTTTGTTCTGGGTTATTCTGATCCCCAAGAGAGAGTGAGTGAAAGTCTCTGCTTGTATGAAACATCATCTCCTGATATACCACTCTCCATAAACCAGCCTGAGCCAGAAGCCACAACTCCTGCTGTCATTTATCTCATTGAAGTGAATTCACAATCTGTGGAGTTGGAGGCAGCTGGAAATACAGAGGAAGCCTCCAAGGACATCTCGTTGCCTCAGTCTGTCCTCCTGAATGAACAATCATCTGACTGTCAAGTGGAGCTGGATGATGACAGGGACCCTGTCCCCATTGCGTTGTATATGGCTCGCATTCCCAATCCTCCACCTAAACCTGGGGCCTATATTCCTGTTGAGCACAGTTACACTGTAGGCTGCCCACTGGTTTGGAAGATGAAGGCAGAGGCTCTGAAGGAGGCCTTTGAGAAGGTCACCAAGGAGCTCCGGGCCAGCAGGAAGCGGGAGAGTCGTCTGCGGGCACGTATCACATCCATCTTGAGACCACAACATCAAGTGCTTCGAGATGGATGTGCTGAATTGGACTTAACTGAGGACTACCAGCCACAGTTTGAAGTGTTTGAGGTGCAAGTGGTGGATGAGGCTGTGGATCTGTAGCTACAGTTTGACTCACTCACTTATTTAACCAGTGCTGTTGATTCTTTGCTAAACAAACCAGCAGTAAAATTTGTGGAGAACAGTGATGTGTTGAGGAGAGGAGCGGAAAATGTGCGATAGGAGAGTGGCTGGGGAGAGGATGTGGGATGTGGGAGATGAAGCAATGTGGCTGGAGGGAGGTGGAGTGGGGAGTTTTGTTATGGTGAATGCAGGAGATTTTCTAAGCTCCCTCTGACTTGTGTGGAGTGACAGAAATCACACCACAAAGTTTGAATTATGAAGAGTTAACTAATCTGTCGCTAGGTTTTGCGGTGTGAGAGATGATGTGAACTCTTGAACATTTTACTGTTTAACATAAAAGTAAATGTTCTCACTGTGATCTTAATGATTGAGAACATTGGCTGTTGTACAAAACACGAGCATTCTAAATCATTGGTCTGTGTACCCTCAGTCATTATCTCTGTTCCAGAAGGCCACAAGAAATCGTACCACATTGTGTGCAATTTTTCCATTTGTGTTGGGGAATATTCAACCATGTCTTTCAGCACACAGCTAAGCCCAGTCGTGCCTCTTTCAACAGTCACCCTTGTGCATTTTCTGGCATGGATCCAGACAGTGAAAAGAAGGACTTTGAACCAGTTTTTTTTCTTTGTCACCCTTGCCAGCTAACACACAGGATAGTAAGGCCAATTACAGTCCTCTCTCTCTCTCTCTAATTGTAGACAAAAAAAATTGAAAACAAACTTGTTGAAATGACAGATTGCAGAAGCGATTGCTTGTCTCTCAATGTTACCTTGTATCAGTGTTTGTAGACTGGCTGTCCTGGGATTCTGCCTGTAGGCTATGACTGTTCTTGTTGATTTACCATGGCTTTTAGGAAAGCTCACAATTGTACAGGATGAAGCTGACGTGATTTGACTCTTTCAAAACGCTCCTGGCCAGCCTCCGATATTCTACCCTCCATAGAGCTAAGGTTCGAAACCCCACTGACCACATCCTCCATCTTGTTAAGCCTCATTGTGGTCGTGTGCTGAAAATCAAACCATGCTATTCGTGAAGTCATCACAAAGTTAAGTGTTTCATGAAAGTACACAAAATTCCCCCAATTTACCTGTCTCGTAATCCCAGGTTTCTGCACTTAAGAGGAATTACTATTTATTAAAACTGAATAGATTCTAGCTACAGACAAACAATTTTATGGACTGGTGACCTACCTCTACTTCTTAAAACTCTAACCCCGCCTTATAAACTGTCCCCCCACATAGATATATACAGACACAAACGTGGAGGGAAAAAATGTGTTATGGGTGGAGCAAATGACTAGGAAAGTAGTTTGATGGTTCCTGTTCACAGGGTTTGCTGAGATTGTCATTTTGGCTTGTCAGGACAACCCCACAACTCTCTCGATTATTGGTGCTCCTCTAATTCTATCATCTTGAACATCCACAATTTAATTGCTCACCATTGACTGTTGTATCTTCAGCTGCTTGGATCCTGAGCTATGGAATTCCCCTTTACACTTGCTCTTTCATCTTTTAAGACACAGTGATCAAGCTTTTGACCATCTCCCCTAATATCTCCTGATGTGGATCAATGTCTAATTTTGCTTTATAATGCTTTTGTGAGCACCTTGAGATACTTTGTGCTGTTATAGGTGTTGTATAAACACAAGTAGTTGTAGGTCAACATTTAAACAGTACAATACACTCCATTCAGAACTCATTCAGGACAGCCTCGCTTGAGTCACTTCACACCTGGTCTCATATGAAAAGATGTGTAAAATGCAAGAAATTTACGAAAGTACTTTCAGACAGTATTCTACAATTACATGTTTTCAGTTCTGCTAACTCATTTTTTTTTCGTGTGAGAGAAGCCAAGAATCTGAGATCGTTGTTTTACTGATTACATTAATGGATTTATGATTCCAGTAATGATTGCTGAAATCCTTCAATTTGACCAGCATCAGTTGATCACTAACAAACAAACTGTAAAACAACTTACGTTGAAGGAATGGGATTCAATTAAAATTACTTTTAGAATTATTCTTGAAGGTTTTCTATTTGGGAAATGTTAAACCTACAATGTTGAATGTACAAAAATAAGCCAGTGAATAAAAGTAACTACAGAAATTACAAGAAAGGATGGGGATTTTGGACTTAGCTCATAATAGCAAAGGAAATGCAGGACTATGGAGAAAGAATTTAAGGTTCCTAAGCTCCGAGGATGGGAGGCATTGGGGTGATGGTAATGTCACAGGACTAATAATTTAGCTAATACTCTGGAACATAAATTGAAATCTCACCATATAGCAACTGGTGGAATTTAAATTCAGTTAATATGTCTGAAATTATAGGCAAGTCTAATGGTGATCTGGCTGTCTATTGGTCGCTGTTTGTCCAAAAACCCATAATTAAAATCTACCATCCTTATTTGATTTGGCCTACATGTGACACCAGACACACAGCAATTTGGTTAACTCTTGATTGCCATTTGAAATGGTTGAGCAAGCTGGAAACAAAATCCTGGAAATCACAGCGGGTCAGGCAGCATCCATGGAGAGAGAGCAAGCTAATGTTTTGAGTCTAGATGACTCTTCATCAGAGTTGCCTAAGTAAGCTATTCAGTTCCACTTCTAAAGAAAGAAATTCAACCAACAGAACCATCTGACTGTCAGTTGCACCTAAGCACCAGAAATGGCAACAGAACACACTGCCTTGTCTTTTTTTACTAACATCTGAGGTCTTGTGCCAGAAGTGGGAGACTTGGCATATCTGGCATACAGACGTATCAAGCACCAGCTTGACTTTGTGACAGTCAGCAAATGATACTTTACAGACCACATCCGAGACAGCGTCACTATCCCTGGGTATGTCTTCACCCACCAGCAGGGCAGACCCACCAGAGGTCTGTAGACATGAAGGCACTGTCCTGGCAGTTCTCAATAGTGACTGGACCCTTTGAAGTTTTATTAAATTAGTTAAAACGTGGGCAAGGAAACATCCTGCTGCTTACTACAAACACATGCTCACTCACTCGCACTCTCTCTCAATTGTTGAATCACTATTTTACTCGTTTGTAGGATATGGGTGTTGCTGGCTAGCCCAGTATTTATTACCCGGCCCCAACTGCCTTGGAGAAGGTGATGGATTCTTGAAGTGCTACTGTATTTGTGGTGCAGGAACACCCACAATGCTGTTAAGAAGGAAGTTGCAGGATTTTGTTTCTGGCTGGGAGATTTTGGTTGCTCCATTTCAGACCAAGTTAGCTGCGTCCTAAAAGACACAGCTGCTGGACTGGGTCTGTAGTAGGTTGCGAGGGAATCAACAGGAGGAAAAAATATATAAGACCACATCCTCACCAATCCATCTGTTACATATGCATCTGTTCATGACAGTATTTGTAGGAATGACCACCTCACAGTCCTGTACACATATACAAAGTCCCACGTACATAGTCTCCATTGTGTAATGACACTATGCTGAACAGGACAGATTTTGAATACATCTAACAACTGAAAACTGGTCATCTGTGATGTTTTGTGGACCATCAGCAATAGCAGAATTGTATTCGACTTCAATCTGTGGTCTTGTGGACTGGGATATATCCCATTCTACCACTACTGTCATGGCTGGGAACTAACTCTTGATCCTGGAGAACCAGGCAAACTTAAAATGAGATAACACAGTGTGGAGCTGGAGGAACACAGGCCAGGCAGCATCAGAGGAGCAGGAAAGCTGACGTTTCGGGTCAGGACCCTTCTGTGTTCCATCAGCTCCACACTGTGTTATCTCTGACCCCAGCATTGGCAGTTCTTAAAATGTGATGTTAACTTAAAATGAGATGTCAGCAACAACTACTGCAGGACTACTTCATTCCAAACAGTGGGAGCAGCATATGTAATGGGCAGTGCTAAGTGATCTTGCAGCCAATGGAACACATCTAACTCTGCAGTCCTGTATAGGTGGTGAACGATTAAACAACTAACGAGAGGAGGAGGCTCTGAATGGTACAAGAGCTAAACACACCAGTGCAAAAGGCAAGGCTACAGTGAGTGAGTTATCTTCTCAGTAAGTTATCTTTTCAGATACCAGTTTTAAGCTAATTTGATGATGCACTAGAAAGGTTAACAGGACCAGCCAAATAAATATTGTGGTTACTACAGCAGGTCAGAGGCTGGGAATTCTGTAGTGAGTAACTTACATTTTTTAACTTTTTTTTGTGGAATGTGGCTGTTGCTAGCTGGCCAGCATTTCTTGCCTACCCATAGTTGCCCATGAGAAGGTGATGGTGGTGAGCTGCCTTCTTGAACTGCTGCAATCCATCTGCTGGGGATTGACCCACAATGCCATTAGGGAGGGAATTCCAGTATTTTGATCCAGTGACAGTGAAGGAATGGCGATATATTTCCAAGTCAGGATGTTGAGTGACTTCGAGGGGAACTTGCAGATGGTGGTATTCCCATATGTCTGCTGTCCTTGTCCTTCTAGATGGAAGTGTGGGTTTGGAGGCTGCTATCTGAGGATCTTTGCTGAATTTCTGCAGTGCATCTTGTAGATAGTACACACTGCTGCCACTGAGCGTCAGTGGTGGAGGGCATGGATGCTCGTGGATGTAGTGCCAATCAAGCAGGCTGCTTTGTCCTGGATGGTATCAAGCTTCTTGAGTGTTGTTGGGGCTGCGCTCATCCACGCAAGTGGGGAGTTTTCCATCACACTCCTGACTTGTGCCTTGTAGATGGTGGACAGGCTTTGAGGAGTCAGGAGGTGAGTTACTCGCCGCAGTATTCCCAGCTTCTGGCCTGCTCTCGTAGCCACTCTGTTAATGTGGTGAGTCCAGTTAAGTTTCTGGTCAATGATAACCCCCAGAATGTTGATAGTGGGGCTTCAGTGATGGTAACACCATTGAATGTCTAGGGGTGGTGGCTAGATTGTCTCTTATTGGTGATGGTCATAGCCTGGCATTTGTGTGGTGCGAATGTCACTTGCCACTTGTCAGCCCAAGCCTGGATACTATACAGATCTTGTTGCAGTTGAACATGGACTGCTTCAGTATCTGAGGAATTGCAAATGGTGCTAAACATTGTACGATCATTGGCGAACATCCCCACTTCTGACCCTATGACATTGGGAAGATCATTGATGAAGCAGCTGAAGATGGTTGGGCCGAGGACACTACCGTGACGAACTCCTGCAGAGATGTTCTGGAGCTGAGATGATTGGCTTCTAACAACCACGACCATCTTCCTATGTGTCAGGTATGACTCCAACCACTGGTGTTTGTTGCCTGATACCCATTGATTCCAGTTTTGCTAGTGCTCCTTGATGCAGCCTTGATGTCAAGGTCTGTCACTCTCATGTCACCTCTGGAATTCAGCTCTTTTGTCTATGTTTGAACCAAGGCTGTAATGGGGTGAG